TATCCATTTAGGCATTCTGGCATTTTTTCTTGATTTCCTGCTTGTCTGGATGGGTCATTGGAGGAGGTTTTCCTTCAAAATGTTTTCTCCATCACCCTTGGGATTCTTACAAGCAGATCTCTGAATGGGACAAAGTCTGCTCTTCTGAAGGTTGTGATCTTGCTTTTTTGCTTTTATCCCCTTCTCTTGGGATCATGAACTCTACTGTGCAGCTAAGGTTGCCCCTGGTCTTCACAAATCCAGCAAGTTCTTCCTTCTCTGTAAGTCTGAGGCTGAGCAGAGTGCCTCCTCTCTTTAGCTACTTAATCACGTGAGTGACAAATTTATTATCAATGCACTCCAGAAACCTACCAGATTGATTGTGCCCCGCTTCTCTAGAGATAACAAGTAGTTGAAGTCTCCCATGAGGACCACAGATTGAGAAGTTTCTTCCAGTTGTCTGATGGAGGCCTCATCTATATCAGGCCTGCTCACCCTGATCAGACAGTCATTAGCAGACACCCACTTCAGCATCACCGATGTTAACCTGCCTGCTAATCCTGACCCATGAGTTCTCAGCTGGCTCATCATCCATCTTAGACAGAACTTCTCTCATTCCCACTGCTCTCTCACATAAAAGGCAATTCTCCTTCCCTACCGTCCCAGCCTGTCCTTCCTAAAGAGTCTGTATCCAGCCATTGCAGCACTCCAGTCATGTGAGCCATCCCACCACGCCTTCGTGATCCCAGTGAGACTGTAGCCCTGCAATGGCATGCAGAGCTCAAATTCCTTGTTGGTTGCGCATGCTGTGTTCACTGTTGTACAGACACATCATATGGTCATACAATCATGCTGATTTCCCAGAAAAGTTATGAGAGCTTCCTCACAATGTGTCCCCTCAGCATTTCCTTATTTGTGTGGACATACTTGTAATGCTCAACCTTGTGCAGGTGTTTCCTGTCCATATAACCCCACACTATTTGCTCGTCAGACCAGCCCACTTCCTCACTCACTTGTGGGTTGTCATCTCACTTTCCTGTTAAAGCTCCCCTCACTATCATGTTGGCAAGGACACTTTTCCCCACACGCTCAGGTGGATCCTGTCTCTTCCTGGCAGTCCTTGATCATCAAAAAGGGTCCATGGTGATAAAAGGTAACACCTTGTTGTTGACACCCAGCTATGCAACTGGGTCTTGACCCACAGAATCTGCCCCCTCTTCCCAAGGCTTTTCCCTTCTTTGTCAGGATCAAGACACCACCTAAGCCACCCATGTCCTTGACCACCACCTCCAGCACCATGTAGTCATGCCTGATGTGCTCCAGGTCTCTCCTGGACTCCTTTGGTGTATGTGTGGAAAAGCGAGAAGGGGTTAAGCATCTGAGGACTTGGCCAGTCTTGGCAGTCTCTCTGCAGCATCTTAGAGTCTACCCTGGCAAGGAGCAAATCTCTCCAGACAGCAGGTTGGGTCAGCAGATGAACAGATGAAAAGTAAGAGTCATCCCCAAATTATCACACAACAGCAAGTCAGTTAATAGCTATAGTATCCATCTGACATGCAATGCGTGTTCATCAAAACAATGCTCATAGGGAACATATAAAACAACCCTTCTACTTTTATCTTACTTTGGTAAAAACACAGCAGTCCTCATGGGTACTGAACGTTACAATTTTTTCCTTAACACAGCATATTCTGATGTTTGCATCAGAGTAACCAAGTAAAGTAACAGAGTAACCAAGAGTACATAACCGAGTACATTTTTCTTAGTAACTAACTGAACATTCAAAATGGCGAAGAGTAAAAAGAAGAAAAGAGGGAAAAAAAGTCAAAAAATCCTCAGTGCTGAATAAAAGGATCTGGATGCTCTGATTGTGAGCCAAATAGAACTGAAAATGTTATCACATTGTCCATTTCCAAAAGACAAATTTTCTCAGAGTCATATACAAGACAAAGGAGGCATTATTCTGTTTCATTTAGCAATGGTAAGACCTTAGATGGAACGTCGTGTTTCATTCTATGTATCTTATTTTAATAATGTTATATACAGACTGGAGAAAATTCTGATGACAACAAGGACAATGAAAATTAGAATCTAAACAAACTAAGAAGAAAACCTAAAAGAACTGTGTATGTTTGGTACAGAGGGATGATTGAAGGCTGGCAACACAAGAGCCTTCTTCTTTTTTCAGAGGAAGGATTACAGTGAAGAAACTCAGTATTAAACAGAGATACCTAGGTTAGATATAATGGGAAAAAAATCTCCTTGTAAGGCTCATTAAGCACAAGAAAGACTATACAAGAGTATTATGCATGCATTTCCAACATAGGAATCAGTCAGGGATGATACAGATATGATTGTCCTGCCTCAGAACACAGAGATGGATGAGATGAGTTTGAAATATCTCTTCCAAGCCTGAGTTTTCCACAATTCTATAATTCGTTTCGATCTAAGCTTTTTCTTCAGAAAGGAAGAGGAGATATCTGCTCTACTTCTAATGGGGCTGGTTTGGTTTTTTCCCTTAGCCTTTTGTACTGAAGGGGCATCCAATCCTTAGTTCATCACAGAAGATAAAAAGTAAGAAAAGCAGCATTTAACAGGTCACTAATCACAGCAGAGGTGTGAAAAAGGCAGCTTCACTTGCTTCCATCCTCTCACTTTCTAATTAGGTGCTGACAATGCGGCTGACACTGTGTAAGATACAGAGATAGTTCTTGCTCTGGGGAACTCAGAGTCTGAGAGCGACGAATGAAGATCCCTGAGGATTATTTCTTGCTTCCATGTGCTTTAAAAGACTGATAATTTTTCACTGTAGACCTCTGAATCACATTCTAAATTGAGACAGAGATAAATAGAAAGCAAGCTATTTCAGGTGAATAGGGATTTGAAAAAAATCTATGCAACGTGCTGCTTTTGGCAGGCAGAAGAACATTAATATAGAAGTAACTGCTGAGTGGCATGGATATCATCACACTAGCTAAGAATAGAAAAGCTCTGTCTCTGCTATCACAGAGAGGTTGATCATTCTATTTAAAATATGGGAGTACTTCATGGTACATCTGGCTTTTAAATACTCCATTAATGAACTTCCATTCTTACTCAAAGCTGCTAGCAAAACATATCCCCTGAGCAAATGGTCCATTGTCACTGACTGACAGATACACAAATTTACTCTTTAATTTAAAAAGAAAAAAATCCAATTATATAATATAAAAAAAACCAACAACAACCAACCAATTATGCAACTCTGCACACTTCACATTATGGATGTAAAAGTCATTAGAAACATCAAAAAAATATTTCCCATTCTATTCAGAGCATAGGATGTAAACTTTTAAGTCTAACTAGTAGTATTTCAGCACCTTACTGAAATAAAACTCCTGAGTAAATAAAATATGTTTCAAAATATACAGAAATTCATGTTAGAATGCAACAGTTTTGAAAGGTAAACAAACAAACACAGGACATCAATATTCCAGGTAATTTTTAACTACATTCATTCTTTATGTAAATAAACATACAACACTACACTGCCATAAAGGCCAGTTTTCATTTAAACAGTTTATGTATCACATAATTCTTCACTGTTGAAAAACTTTGACCTTTTACTAGACGTGTAGCAAAGACATAGTGTATAAGAGTAGAACAACATCAGTTTGTGACCTCTTTAATTATGTTTATTATAGTCTACATTTTAGGTTAAATTCTATTATATTTAAAATAATCAATATTCTAATTATACATTTCAATGCAAATGTAACAACTCTTAATTCAGGGATCACTACATTTTGATGCACTGCAAGCCAGAGAACTAACTATTAATAAGGCCAAGTGGTTTGGGAGGATGTGTGAAGCACATGAAGCCAGATGTACTTACCACTACTCCTCAAGGCAGAATGAATTAGAGGGTAGTTTGTAGCTGCGTAAGAGGCATCAGTACAGTGGTCTGCTAACGTGAAAAGTATTGCACTAAACTGCAGCTGACAAAGAAAAGCCTCATACTTTCATAAGGGCAAGACAGAAAAGAGCAAGATTATCATTATGGGCAATGACAATACAAAGCTATAACCAAGTAGTAATGGTATGTCATGTGTCATCACAGATATGAGAGTGCAATAGGAAAAAAGTTGTACATACTGTCTATATAGGAAGCCTACATTAAACCCATTCAATTCAACAAAGTATTGGACCTGGAAGACATTTTAAATGTAAATTGTCACTAATTTATTTTGCCAGGTTGGGGACAAGGCAGAAATACACTTCAGATTTGCAGAATTCTTAAGATGTTGATGTAGAGATATTGATGGAAATCATACTTTGAACCAAATATTTGTCTATTCATCTTGTCTTAACCTTTCCTCTTCGTATATCCTCATTATAATGCTCCAAGGAGTCATGACTGGCTGAAAAAGAACAGACAAAACAAAGAACAAAAGCAAATATGCATGACAGGATGACAGGACCAGTCCTTAATTTCTGTTGAATAAATGATGAAGAGGCCACAATAATTCCTTAAACTCCTTTTTTGTAACTTGATACTTTATTCAAACTTCAAAAAAAACCCTTCAAAGATAAGTAACTGTTGTACTGATGGATTTAACTGAAGAGAAAAAAAACAAAGGACCGAAGACAGGTCTGGAAAAGGATCAAATAAACAAATGGATCCATGTCTCAAGTGGCCATAGGTAAGCAAAGATCTGGGCAAAGCAGAAAAAGACAAAGGTTATAGCATGAAGAAGAAAGGAATTTTGCCGATACCTCTTCCAATTCCTTTGTAAATTAAAGTCCTCCAAGGATCCATTCCAAAGTGCTAGAGACTGGAAATGTATCCTTTCCTTGTATACATTTCTTTGCAAAGGTTTATCATTAAAAAAAAAAAAAAAGGAAAGCAAGATTTCAGAATTTCTGCTGCTGGTTTGCTATTGTTAGGTACATGGCTGGCAATTGGCAAACCAACACAGCCGAGTACGGTGTTTTGAGTGGCCACCCGGGATGGTTAAACATGCACCTCTGTACACCCCTGCCCAATGGACTGACCGAGCGTCCTTAAACTGTTCATTAAGAAAGGACAAATAAAACTGCTGATGATTCCTACATAATCTTTACAGCTCATAAAAAAATGTACAAGGAGTTTTCTCTGGAAGTATGAGTTTTGTTTGCTTAGTGCAGGAGTATTTGTAATTCATAGAATGTGGGAATATTAAGGGAAAATAAAAATCCCTTGAATTCAGTTCTGAAAACTGTCAGATATATGCTCACACAACAGGAGGAAAGAAGCAACAGATTCACCCAGCTGGGAAATATCTTTCTGTGGGATAACTAGACTATTTGTTGCCAATATACTCATGTGTAACAGTGGCAGAACACACTTTCAAGTTCTTCGCAGTTATGGTACAGAATTTCATCACTGTATTCCGCTTGTAAGAATATCCTGTACCTAATTTGTTTCCAGTATAATATCCTGAGTATTACTGCATTTCTGTCAGTATGTTTCAGTAACTGCCAATAAAGAAATCATAGATAACATTGTGCAGACTGCAAGAGTTCTTTCTCATCTATTTCACAGATGTTATATGAAATCTTTAGCCAAAATTTAAGGCAAAAAGAACAAAATATGTCTTATCATTTTTATTATACATTCTGATACATCTCTGGGACTAAGGTGAGACCACACCTAGTAAAAATAAAATCAATTACTACAATAAATACATCAAAAAATTTATGTAAGTGTTGATTTATCATGACTTCCAGGGTCTTCCATCTGCCAGTGATGCAATGAGGATAGTATGCCAAGAAAAAACCTATGTAATGAGAGCTATAACTTCCTCTGTCTCCTGGGATCTCAGGTCCTTATGACAGCTCAGCCATTGCTTATCCAAGACTAAGCTGCTTTTTTTCTTTGTTTTTTAACTTTTGCCTCTGATTGAAAAAGAATTGCATTCACCCCACTGAGACCATGGTGGGGTGAACTGCTGTTCTGCGACCAGAGACTAAGCCAGGAGTAGAGTCCTAAATAGAGTTTCTCCAGTATTATTTTGTCACCTCATACACTGCAAATCTGTTGTGATCTTTTATTCACTCAATAGCATCTTTAATCGCATATTAAAGAGTGTAATCACAGTGGACATTTTCTTTATAAAGATATCTTCACTCTAAAGGGAAAGAAATAGGGATGTTGTTGACATACTTATAAAAAGAAGCGTGCTTAATGCTTGTCAAATACTTGACTTCTTTCTTCTCTTTCTCTGTTTTTGTTTAATAAAGCAAGTCATGATCCCCAAACTTTTCTAACTGCTTGATCTAGACCGTCTAGTCTCAGGGTCTTCTTAACACTTGAGTTGCTGGATCTAGTAACACTACTGTAACCATTAGACACTACTCGAAATATTTACTTATTAAGCATCAGCACCTGAGGCTTCAAACTATGGAAATGAAAAATGCTGACAAATCAGAATCATACCAATTTTGCTCATTCTGTATTCGTAGTTTTAAAAAAATTATACAAAACATGTGGGAAAACAGAATCAGACTCATGACCTCTGTTGATTACCTGGAATGTAGCAGTAGAGCAAATCTGAACAGCTTGAGTGCAGAAACTTTCATTATTTTGCAAGCCAGCAAAAGTTAATCCAAGATAATTTATCCAAATTTATCTAACTGCCAGGAGATATGATTTCCATGTGAAGAGCATTTCACCTTATACTTCAATCTAGTTAAGAATCTCCATCATAACACCATATGGCATTTCCCTTTATTTCTGCTATTTCCTTCCAGTGGAAATTCTGAAAGCCAGTCATATACTCTATACCCGTATTCTGTTGCCAGCTTTCATTGTGGTATGTGCTGCAGATTCCTCAATGCTATACTTACATGCTTAAGCTGATGCAGGAATGTCTCTGAGTCTTGCAGTAACAGGTCAGTATAGATAAATCCTGACAATTTTCAACGCCCTGGTAGCACAAATTAAATTATAAACCAGGCTTCAGTTTTGATTGACACAAAAACCTTAATAATATCAACTTAACTTCATTTGTGACAATTTACCAGAGCAAGCCTAAGTTTCATGTTGAATATTATGTGTCCACAAAGCTGCATGCATTTAAAGGCAGATAGATATAACTTTAACTTAGCCAATGAATCTTTAAATCTAAAACCACAAAATGCAAAGTATTAGACATCATGCAATTCCCTAAAAAACCCCCCCCCAAAACAAAATAGTGTATTAAATGTTTGTTGATTAACTGTTATAAACAGAAGAAATGGATTTTGTAGTGAGTTGTTTACTTGTCTGGGACACGGTAGGTAAATTAATGCTTTTAGAAAAGTAATGTCTATTGGGTATCAATAGATCAGAAATCCTAACCAAAGAAATCAGTGTAATTGGAAAAAAGTTTTAATTACCTATAAAATGATCTTTCTAGTATGTTTTCCAGATTTATTTATTCCAGTGGGTATCATATTCCTTAAGAAGCACTTCATATTCCAGAACCTCAACTATTTGTGTATATTAAAAGATCCATGTACAGTGAAATTATGAGACTAACATGCAGCTTTCTCAATGCCCTTTCGCTGGTGCAGGATAAAAAAATTTAAAGCTGAACATCAGTGCCTAACTTTAGAGGTTGGAAGATGAAGAAGTAAAATTTTATGTCTAATGTCAGCAGTAAACTAAAATACCATCTGCACTGAAGCCTGCCCTGAGGGACCCCACTCCACTCTTTCACTAGTAGGACATTCCCCCTACACGTGAATTGTATGGCTATGCCAAAGCGCCACAATGGGGAAAATCATTTCAGGTCCAAACTGTTTTATCTAACTAAACAATCTGGGAGAGACAGAATTAACTTTTTTCAAAGTCACAACAATAACTTATTTTCCACAAAATTTCTGCATTGATGAGCAACAACGTTACTAATAAAAAGCTAACAGAGATAGGAAGACAGTTTGGATTTCCTATTTCATAAGTGTCATCAAAAAATGTGCTGGCTAAAATCAAGTTTCAAAAACCTTCAGTGGTGAAGACAGGAACAATATACCTTGAGTTTTTGAAGTTTAGATATCTCCTACAAGAGTCAGATCCACTGTTTCAATTGTAACATTGAAATGAGAGAATTGTAGATAAAATAAGGTTGAAATGAAGACTCAGAAGGATCAGGCTAGGAAAAGAACTGTTATTTTTACCTTCTGGTCTTTCAAATGCTAGGAACTAAATTTTCCTTTCAACCAATTCTTTCCTAGCTGTGAAATACAATAAAATATTGAATGAATTGAATTTTTACTCTAGAGGATGGGAAAGCGGAACATATTCTTTCTACATTCACAATATAAAATCAACAAGCCAATAACCAGAACTAGTTATCTTTTGAAGGCTATTCTATCATGCACACATAGTAATCTTCTAAGGACTTCTATCAGAGAAGCTTGTTAATTTGATTTGTTGGTTAATTTGTACCAGAGTTGTCAGTTGACCAATGCTGACTAGGCATGCATGGAAAAATACTATTTTATCCTCTTACTTATACAGCTGGAAAGGAAACCGAATTGGATGAGTGGTCAGGTAATTACAGAACCTTTGAAAAGTACATGGGCAGCTACACAGAGAGTACATGGGTATAACTGGATCTTTTTCTTTCATTCTTCCTTTTTCCATCATTAAAAAGTCTCCTTTTAAAGAAAAGGTATTTTTTCTTTATTTAAACTTCCCTATTTCCCTCCTTTCTGTTGCCACACTGTTCCTAAATGGTTATTTTGTTCCTGAAAAAGCAAGCACAAGAAGAGCTTCTAAGAAAAAAAAAAAAAAAATTTTTTTTGGAATGCCTTCATCATAGAACATAACAATAAAAATATAGTATCCTCCATAGGTAGTTATGATGCTTATCCACGAAATTTCATTGGTAGTTGCAATTTCATCCTCTAAAGACATCCTATAGCTTGTTGAAATGCTATGAGAGCCTTGGCCCAATGGAAATATCACCGCTGCAATGACCATTAGTACCTGAAGTCTGCCATGTAATACGTTGCTGCTGTGACATCTATCCATCTCGTCCAGTTCCCCTCCGTACTTCCTGCTTCTCTTAAAATGATCTTTCATCAAAGTAAAACAATTCTTTACTGTTGTGCTAGTTCTTTTCCCCAGATTACTCCATTTCTGCATGCTATAAAATTACAATGCCAGATATTCCCTCAATTGGCATGGATTTCTGTTTTGCATATATCAGAAATTTAAAAAAACAATGAGAGACTTACTTACCTCACTGAATAATTTTTATTACCTTTTCCCAAATTCCATCTGGGTAAGTCACAATGGAGCAAAAATAAAGACCAACATCCTCCAAAGTGCTCTTGATGAAGGATAAGGACTTGTCTTCCCTGGAAGCGCTTTTAAAATAAATTATTCCATTGTATTTGTCTTCCATATGTCTATGCCATAGATTGGATGCAAGACAGCTACATTTTCTTCATGAGTTACGTTAAATTTCATCCAGGATGTTTTGATTATCACGGCTTTTTTTGGATATATGCATTCCAGTTTCACCTTCTCAGTAAATTTTACAGCTGAATCCACAAGCTTTCCTTCTGCGTTGGGTAAAGCACACACAGAAGTTCAGTTTCAGAATTAACATAATTGAAAATTGAAATTATAGAACAACTCGGAAATTACTTTAGCAGCACTACAAGCAAAACACTGAAGAAAAATTCACTAAGAAAAAAAACCAAACACTAGATGTTATTATTATTTGTAACTTCTGAATATCATTGAACAGTTAAAATTTTTCTGAAACACACAGTAACACACTTGTGAATTGTGATCATATCTGTCATAATGCAATAAAAAAATGAAAGATGTTACCTAGGAATAAGAAAGCAACCTTACTTCCACAAAGCTGGAGAATGGCGATAAGGAGAGATACATGGTCCATCTCAAAGAACATGAATCAGTGACTTCAGTGCGACATGGTTTATTCAATCTCTGTGCACCATGTGCCTTTCTCACAGGATGTTTTTACTTTTGGAATATGAAAAACACTATGCACTTTTCACTTTCACATTCTAAGATACAACATGGCATGTATCCAAAATCAACAGAATTACTCCATTTTTCTGACACTGCAGTTCAACATTTATCTATTATGCCGGGAGTGTAATATCTAAAGAGAATGTAAGACTGTTCCTATATATTAGAGCTCATAATTTTGTGACTAGTTGTAGAAAGTAATGTCTTAAGGTCTGAGAATTTATTTACGATAACATGTCATAAACTAGCATTTTGGGATCAAAATTATGCAGATCAAAATTTCTTGTTCAAAGGTGTAAGAATCCTGAGTATTTGTGACTCTCGTTGAAATTTGTCAAAACAAGCCACACTCTTACATCTTTTATGGATTTTTATCAGGACAACTGCAAGCATTTTTGCACCTCAGCAGGCCATAGTTTTATGGAGCTGCTTAAAATATGAACATGATTGACCTGAAGTCAAAACTAAGCTTGGTTAAAATTCTCAAATCATAGAATCACAGAATAGTTTGGGTTGGAAGAGACCTTAGAGATCATCTACTTCCAACCCTCCTGCCACGGGCAGGGACACCTTCCACTAGACCAGGTTGCTCAAAGCCCCATCCAACCTAGCCTTGAACACTTCCAGGAATGGGACATCTGCAATTTCTCTAGGAAACCTGCTCCCGTGCCTCAGCACCTTCACAGTAAAAATTTTCTTCCTCATATCTAATCTAAATCTACCCTCTTTCAGTTTAAGGGCATTAGTCCTTGTCTTATCAATACATGCCCTTGTAAAAAGTCCCTCTCCAGCTTTCTTGTAGACCCCCTTCAGGCATTGGAAGGCTGCTGTAAGGTGTCCCTGGAGCCGTCTCTTCTCCAGGCTCAACACCACCAACTCTGTCAGCCTTTCTTCATAGGACAGGTGCTCCGTCCTTGTAATCATTTTTGTTGCCCTCCTCTGGACCTTCTCCAACAGGTCCATGTCTTTCCTGTGCTGAGGGCTCCAGAGCTGAATGCAGGACTCCAGGTGGGATCTCACAAGAGCAGAGCAGAGGGAGAATCAGTTCCCTTGACCTGTTGGTCACGCTGCTTTGGATGCAGCCCAGGATATAGTTGGCTTTCTGGGCTGCAAGTGCACATTCTTGGCTCATGTTGAGCTCCTTATCAACCAACACCCCCAAGTCGTTTTCCTCAGGGCTGCTCTCAATCCATTCTCTGCCCAGCCTGTACTTGTGCTTGGGATTGCCCCGAGCCAGGTGCAGGACTTGTTCTTGTTGAACTTCATGAGGTTCACATGGGCCCATTTTCTCAAGAGCTGTCCAGGTCCCTCTGGAAGGCATCCCTTCTCTCCAGCATGTCAATTGCACCACGCAGCTTGGTGTTGAGTGCACCCTCAGCAAGTTTGCTGACAATCTCATTGTCCATGTCACCAACAAAGATATTAAACAGCACCAGTCCCAATACGAACCCCTGAAGAATGCCACTCATCACTGGTCTCCACTTGGACATCAAGCTGTTGACCACAACTCTTTGAGTGTGACCATCCAGCCAATTCCTTATCCACTGAATGGTCCATCCATCAAATCCATGTCTCTCCAATTTAGAGACAAGGATGTCATGCAGGACAGTATCAAATGCTTTGCACAACTCCAGGTAGAATAAACAAATGTAATTTGAACTAAAGCTCACAACATTAGAAATTAGTCTTTTAGGTGATCAATAGCCTGCACAATCTTGTGAAGAACTTAGCATTAGATCTGTTTATGACTCCTCCCACAGTGCAACAACTTGTGTGTAAACCAAAATCTGTATATATTTTTCTGTATTAAACTAGGCGTGGTTTAGGATAATACAACATTTTGAACGTTTGCAATGACTCCATTTTGCCTCTTCCTAGTTAGATCTGTAATTCTCCATTGTTGCGGTTGCACTTATTTCTACTCTACCTTGTCTGGATTTGCAAAGTACACCCAGATAGTCAGTAGTCCATCTGATGCCAAGTGTAAAAATCTAAATAGAAGAGAATTGAACTGAAGATTGAGTCTTGTTTTATTTGCATTGCAAAGTTATCTTTTCAAAGAGATCAAAAGATTAACTGACATTAAACTTGTCTCAGGAAACAAAAGTATTGCCGATAAAAAGCGCAGGAAATGGGAAGCTTCAGAAAATAAATTGCAGATCTTGTTTTGGAAAAGAAAGGATCTTGTGAGTTGAAGAGGTCCAGTTCCTGGGTGCTGTGCGGCATAGCAGCCTTCAAATCAGCTACACAGGATCTATATGGTTCCTACATTTAAATCTTAAACCTCAGTGACTACCTGTTCTTAAATGACAGTTGTAAATGAGGCAAAAAGACAAAATATCTCTCTAGCTTGAGTGGTGTTCCACAGACGAGTGGTGTTCCACAAAATCTAAAGTGGAATAAAAAAGATAAACATATGTTAATTTTTTTAGTATTATTATTACAAATGAAACTTTTTACACATCTGTTTTCTTTAATTAAAGCTACAATAAAGTACTTGGAAAGTCTCCAAAATGAAGACAAATTCCCTTAAATTAAAATTACTCTTCACTCATCTGTTTATAAATATAAATTACAATTTTATCGCTCTGAACTTCATGCGTGTTTCTCTCCATCTGGCATTGAAAGAAAAACAGAAGTCAAGAAATTAACGCCCAACCTCACATGACAACTAAGTATCGATGATGTAATATGTCATATAAAGGCATTTATTTGCTGTACAACTACAGAAGTCAGGGATTCTTGGGCAGCTAGTCCCAAGAACAGGGTCCCTTGTCATACCTGCTAAAAAAAAGCAGCCTGTAACCAGAGCATTACGGGGTGTCCCTCTAAAGGCCGTGATACAGGTCCCCTCCAGACACCAGTACAAGTACCCTCTAGACACCTGGGCAACACACCTGCAAGTCACAAATCAGAAAGCTGTAGGTGCTGTGAAAGTTGAATCTACTGGGAGCAGGCACACACTTAAAGTATCATATTTTTACAGAAAATATAACCTATAACAAGAGAAATACCGTCTCCACCATACCCTCCTGGAGAGTGGACATATCAGAGCAGGTAGCATAAGGGAAGATCCGTCGTGCAGTCCTCTCCATTACAGCCTCTCCTCGTACCTCTCTTACCTCTAACCTCTATTTCTCCCTACCTCCCCAACACTGAAAGCTGTAGAGTCCACACACCTCTGACCATCTGTGGGTAAGAGACTCTCACATTCTTCTGGAAAGTTGATTCTTCCTAATTTAAAAGCAGCAGCAGCAGCAGCAGCAGCCGCAGCAGATCTCACAGTCCCTCCATCACTTGGGTGGTTCCTTGGGTTCTGACTCTGGTTCTCTGCCCACTGTTCCCCACAGTCTGGATCTTCTTTCCCAGTAATCGCACTTTCTCTCTCTTTGGATCTCAAAGCAAAGGAAGGGAAGGCTCACAAAGACAAACAAGCAATAGTAAACTAATAGTTGGCTAAATGCCAATTACAGTTTGACAACAAAAGCAGCACAGTGGAATTTTCCAGCTGTTAAAAGAAAAAAAAGTAGAAAGAAGAAAAGCAAAAAAGATTGTGCAGTAAACACAACGGAGATCTACAGTTTGGATTTTAATCATGACTTCAACATACATCTTTGGTGACCCTGGGTGAGTCATTTAATTTCGTGGTGCATTAATTTCCCAGACGACAATACATAGATAATATGTAATGAATGCTGCTGTTTCAAAGCATGTAGTAATAATTTCTGTAATGAGGTTTTTTAATGGAATTTGCTATAAAAACTGTGAAGAATAAAACATACATATACGGCCAGCACAATACGTTAATACCCTTTTTAATGAGTCATTAGTATTTAAGATTTAACAGATAGGCCTGTAGCAATAGTGCAGAAAGAGTGGCAAATAATATACTTGCAGACTGCTGCTACCAGCAGAAAAAAGGCCTTGACTGTGGCAGTATGGTGAAACAGGAGATAGCTAAAAAGAAGACCACTCCGGGTACTACTTCTTTTTCTACGAACATGAGCAACGGGAAAATGACCAGGGCAAAAAGATACTTTAGTTTCAGTAAATCTCCAGAGAAGATAATGAAGCAAATGGGCTGGTTTGAGCGTATTTCACACTTGGCCTGTGCATCTCTGTAGATTAACTCTAACCCTGTTGAAGCCATGGTAACCAACCCAGAAGACAAAATTCAGTAACAAGTGATAGAACTCCCTGTTTCTCCATGCATGAGGGTGCCCCTGTTGCCAGTGTGCCACCCTCAAGAAAATTACCTCTTTCTCCATTCACCATTCTTTGTTTCTTTAAGCGGGATGGCTGAGTGGTAGAGCTGGACAAAGGCACAATACTTCAGTTTGCTTTTTCCTGTTCTGCATCTAATCTAATTGTACAAATAAAGTCCCCCAACTTGGATTAATCTATAGACATACCTGATTCAGTAACATAAAGGATAAGATTCTTCAATATGTATTCATTAACCTCAGAGGAGAAGTTAAGTTAACACCAGGTATTCCTCCAATGAGAAAGGAAACAGTTTTGAATTAAATACAGTCATGTTTTGGGGATATATCGGTAAAGATGATTCAGAGAGGAAAAAAAGTTGAATCTAAGAGACTTTCCCAAATATAGAAAATTAAAGAAAATATAATCTACATACTCAACTTCTTGATAATTTTTGTTGTTAAACATATTGGTCTCAAAGAGGTTACACTATATAAATTATAGTTCTATGGTGAAATGCTTCAACTCCAAAATGTCAATCTTTGCGAGAGGATACGTATTCAGGAATCTCTAGATAAAGGATTATGTTTCTACATTTCTGGAAATGGAAAATTATTTACATTCTTTGGAACTGGACCATGAACTGGATATTCATCCTAACATAACACTGAACACCTAAATGGATCAGGAAAGTAAAGACCT